TATTTGGTCCCCTACAATTTTTTTTATTTTTATTTTTATCTTTATTTTTTATTTTTTTATTATTTTTTTTTAACTCAACAACAATGAAATAATGCAGCTACAAGTACATGTGTACTTTTATTTAGTCATTTAATTATTTAATTAATTATTGAAGTTACCTGATGCCACAGCCAGTGGTAAAGGTGAGTAGCAGGTGTCTGATAAAAGTGTAAACTGAAATGTCACGTTTTTACGTAGTTCAAGACTAATGGCATTAGCTTCTTTAAGCAATGACGCATTAGCACGTAACTCATTCTATGAAATGTAAAGATAATAATTATAAATATATCAATTATGTACATGTACTGTATAGCGGGAAATTTCGGAGGGAATTAAATTTGGTGAATTTGACGTTTTGATAGCCATTTGCCAAAATAAAAATCCGCCATTTTGAGCCATTATACGCATGCTCAATGGCAAGTGGCCACAAATTCACCAAATTAAAATTTTTCAATCACCAATATTTTGCAATTTGCCTAATTTTAGTCCCTCCAAAATTTCCTGCTACATAGTAATTGGTATATATATGTACATGTACATGTGTGTTACCTTTAGTGATGTGTGCCTGTATTGCTTCCAAATTGAAATAGCTTTTCTTGCAATTTCTACCTGATGAGGTTCAAGTCCTTCTATACATGTACACATGAATACTAGCAACAATAACAAACAATACTCACTCATTGGTTCTTCCTCAACTGGAGGTATGTATGCTAAACTCTGTAATAAAGATACAAAATTGATAATCTATTCAGTTTATCGATTACTTACTTCTGATCTTCTCTTCTGTATAAGAGCCTCCATTTCTAATATCTTCATTTCATAAGCCTATACCAACACAAATGCATCACATTATACATATACTTCTCTTTTTAATATAATAATAAATATTCTTTCTCTTTCTCCTTTTTATATACTTGTCTTTGTTTTTGGAACAATTCTTCAGCTTCAACTTTTGCTTGAGCATGTGCTCTTGACTGAGTGTCCTCCATAATCTCCTGTAGCTCCTGTAGAAAGTACAAATTATAAATAGGAATTACAGGACACAAAAAGATGGAGAAAGAACTGTAAAGTAAATGTATTGTAGTTTTTTTGTACTTTTTCCTTCTGTGAGGCCACTTCTTGTGCTTTTGCTTCCAGCTGTGTCTGTAGCTCTTCTTGAAACTTCTGGGTCAATTTCTCTTCAATCTCAGCCTCCACCCTTTCCTGATTCTCCTATACCATATCAATATAAGTATACATGTATATACATGTATAGTCTTACTTTCTTTAGAGTCTCAACTTCTTCCACTTTGGCTTGTAGTTTAGTTTCCATTTCTTTCTTAAACTGTTCCACCAGTCTCTCTTCAATCACCGACTGTGTCTTCTGCTGCTCAAATGTTATCTCCTCCAAATGTTTCTCAAACTCCTAACACAAAAATAATAAATAAAAGTAAATTTTAGTATTAAATTGATGCACTATAGAGTTATAAATAACAAATACATGTACAGTGATTAGTTTTAAGTGCATGTATCTTTAAAACTATTATCTGAAACTTTGAGCTTGTTTTCACTGTGTGATATTTAAAGTGCTTGTACATGTACATGTATTGACAGTGAAAGGAAAAGAGAGAGAGAGAGATTCAAACCTTTTTCTGTAGTACTAATAACTCTTCTACTTGAGCTTTCTCTTCTGCAGCCTGGGCCAGTTGTACTACTGCTTGAGCCTTCTCCTCCTCTAACTCTGTGATCCTTTATAGAAGAAAGGAATTTTGAGAATTAAGGAAGGATATTAAGTGTAGGTAGTTGTTATTCTAAATTATTTTTCTTTTTCCTCTCCACGTGTACATGTACATGTACTTACTTTTCTTCAAATTTCTTTTCTTTCTCTTCAAACTGCTTCTCCTTCTCCTCGATCTCCTTCCCAATGTCATACCCAGTCTTCTGCAG